TGAATGACACACCTGGAACGAACTTTATATATCTATGTTATGGTGCCATGGTATGAGCTTGAGTCTCAGGACCATGGTTAGGGTGCGTATATCGCCTAAGATGGATAGCTGGACAGAGTTGTTGTTCCCTGGTAGGTCTAGGTACACATGACCACATTATGTGCGATTTGCATGATATCTCTACTCAAGCTGAGACAGACTTATTGGACTAGTGAGCATCCTATAGTGTGTACTTATACATAGATAGACTACTCTAGATATTATTGGGTCCATCTAGGATGTATCTGTATATCGGGTTTATGTATGGATCGTAGTAGAATAGGACTTGCATGTGGGCCTGACCTACTCTCTTATTTTTTTTAGGTGCTCGTCAGTTCCAGGGTTAGAGCTTGATTGTGCAGAGCAGATACAGACATTTATTCCACCGACTAAGTAGGACTATTTTCTTTATTTAGCTTTGGATTATGATTTCAGTTCTTTTACTTTACAGTTTAGGATATTGATAGGGGTCCATTTGAGGGATTCCCGAGTTGTTAACCTTATGAAGTTATTTTGGAGTTTTGGATTTTAATAATTATATTTTGAGGATTTTCAATTAGAATTCGTTTCAGCCATTTATTATTTATTTCTTATTATTTCAATTTGTATTCCGTGTTCATTAAATATTAATTATTTGATATTTCTCTCGGGTTTGGGCCTGGGCTTGATCAACCCGTGTCTCAGATTCGAGGGTTATCACATCTACCACAGACTTGAAGGGACTTAGAGTTCATCTTTTGTCATCTTTTGTATTTTGATCCCGTTCTTTTGTAAAGTGATACTTTGGAAATGTGTTTGTTTTGTGGAAAACATAGCCATGTTTTGTAACTATAATCCCGACAGTATTTTTGATGTAATTCATGACTATGTAGATGACTTGTACAGAATGGGATAATGATGACTTGTATAGAATGGGATAATGATGGGTTGTCCTTGTGAATTATTGAAAGTGTTTTGACTATGTCATTTTCTGTATATTGTTGGCGTGAATTCGAGACGGATTGTTTATGAGGTTTATGGTGCGACCGAGCGTGTGCACAAAATAATGCACAACACTTTAGGTTTAGAAATAATGTTAAGTGGGCACCATATTTTAAAATTTATAAAACCACTAAACACTTATACTATGGAGTATGAAGTGAGTAGGGATCGTCCCAAGAGATCTAAACAATTATAGGTTTTCCAGAATTGAATTCTACTTTAGTGCTTATGTGATTGCCAAAAGGGTTTTGTTTGTGATTAAAACTAATTTTAAACTAAATGATTGCAATAAAGAAATAGAGTTTAAGAGATTGGAAAAAGACTTAGGGTGTAGGATTCACCACTAAGCACATTCCCTAACTCACTCACTTTCAACTAATTGGGGAAATAATACTATGTAATCTATATGTGGCTAACAAGTGCAATGAAAAGTGTAAACCATCAATTTCAAGTATGAATCAACTACCTAATGACAATTAAACTAAGTGTAGTGCAATTCACCCATTCAAAGCATGATTTATCAATCCAAGTTACAAATTTAACACACATTAATCTAGAAGATAATGCAATTGTGACAAAAAGTATGGAATTCAAACATAAGTATGGATGGTCTACTTACCTAATAATTGAATTGCAATTAAATTAATTAAACTTAAATTAAACTAATTAAACATGAATTTAAAACTAATTAGACAACAATTTAACCTAAACATGTAGTACCATCCATCAAATGAAAGCATTTTTCATCAATTTGAAACACAATTACAACTAAGCAATACCATGCATAGCCATCACAAGAATCAATTAACAAAGAATTCATGTGTAAAATTTGTTTATCAATCAACCACACATAAGACAATATGAGATTAATACAGATAATCAATTGGAAGAATTTAATTCATAATATTCAAGACTATACACTAATTACATAAATTAATCCCCAAAAAGTATGAAAAGAGAGAGAGAATAGGTAACATGCTTAGGGTTTATCCAACCCTAAGTAGAAGAATCAGCCACTCATGGTTGATGGAGTCGAAGACAGGACAATCCCCATCATCTGCTTCATCTTCTCTGAACTTTTCTTCCAAGCCCTAGCCTGTTCTTCCTTTTTCCCTTTCTTCGCGTGTTTTTCCAGAGAGAAAATACGATACTATAATACAGAAAAATAAATAAATTAAAACTTTTTTTTCTTCTCTAATAATCTTTACCTAAATAAAAACTAAAACTAACCCTAATCTAATGGTTCACTGGGCCTTAAGTAACAATCTCATTAAAGCCCAACAGTTCCCAAAATGAGCCCAAAAATTAAATAAAAACTGTAATGTTGCTAAGTCCTGGGGGATCGATCCCCCACCCTGGGGATCGATCCCCCCAAAGTTGAAAATTTCCTTTAAGCCCTATTTAGCTCCATTTTAGCCCCGAACTCATTAGTTTGCTTCTTCATCTTTGGGAACATCATCAAAAGCCTGAGATTGACCGTTTTTGAAGAATAAACACACTATACGAGCAATGGGCTGCGACCTCCTTTTTGCCATTTTCTGAGTTTTTTCTGAATATCTTTGCTTGACTCTAAAAAGACTTTAATGGACCGTTCTTAGCTCAGTTTAACTTTATTGCCCTGAAATACACATAAACATAAATTAGGACTAAAACATGAAATTAAGATAGCTACAACGACTGAAATACCCTAACTTAGGTGCTAAAATGTGCAACATTTAAGCACTTATTAGTTTAGCTCACAACGAGTCCGGTTCTCCTTGGGTTTTAGCTGTAGATATCAGCATTTTTGTTGGCCGGTTGACAAGGAGCATAAGCCGTCCGACAGTGCATTTTTGAGTATTCTAGAGAGTTGGGTCTCTAAAAGTGGCATTTCGACTGGTCGACGAGCCCTGTCAGCCGACCAAACCTCCACTTCTGGCCAACCGAACCCTCACTTCCAGTCGGCCATTTATGAAAGTCCCGAGAGTATGCACTTTCAGCCGCCCGACCAATTAGGTCAGCCTACCGAATCTTGTGAATCAGCCGGCCAACATAAGGCTGCTAGCCGGCCAATTATTTTCTTCCACTATGCCTTGAGTTCCTCCAGTGATGTTGGTAGTTTGGGAGAGTTGTAGGGTTATGGATGAGGTTTATGCTTGGTGTTGACATAGGAAATGACAGTTGTATCCTTAGTCAACCTCGGGTTCGAGTAAGGACTCGGTTAACGGTTCGGATCCACGGGTTTGAGTCGTTACAATGCTAAGTTAAATTACCATTTTAGGAGGCCACAAGTACTAATTCTACAATAATTTAGTAATATGCTCACAAGGTAATTAAATGTGTTACTTTACAAGGGATTGTCATCCACATGTGAAAAGTCCCTAAAATCAAGTATTCTAGTAAATGAAATAATTTACTTACGGCAATATATACATGCTTCAAAGGCTTTGAATTATCAAACAAGCTATATAATGCATATAAGGTATAATTCCACAAGTCACTAATTATCATGTTATCTCCACACATTATATATATATAAGCTAGGTATGCTCTAAATCATGGAACAAGCTATACAACATATATATAACTTACAATTTGGCAAGCTAAACACATATATACACCAAACATGCTTTTAAATCATTAAACCCTGAGTCATTTCAAAGACTTTCCATCTAAATACAAGACTATGGTTTATCAAGCATGTTAACAATATATATTAAGCTCTAAAAACACCTAAACACTTAGGAAATAAACATACAACAATCCCTACCTCAATTTGAGATGAAATCTCAAAAACCACCAAAACGGAACCTTTCCGAATTCGATGCCACTTCGTGGTTTTGTCGGGAACAACGAAGGGAACAAGAAACCCTCTTGGGGTGACACTAAAATCCAAACCCGAGCCAAATTCCGAACTCAAAATTTGGCCAAAACAGGATTCCAATCGGTTGGAATCGAAGGCCTCGTCAAGGCTGACATAAAAACCTTCGTTGGTTGAAGGAGAATCCAAGAGAAAGGAGATCAAATGGAGGAAAAACAGAAAAAGGGAGAAGGGGGAAGGGCTGGCCAGCTATGGGAGAGAGAGGAGAATTCAGAAAATCCTCTCTCCTACCTACTATTTATAGATTTTCCAAAAAGTGCCCCGGACGGGTCTCGTGCGGCCTCGAAAAGTGAAATCTATCCAGACGCGCTCAAACGACAAAAGTCCGTGAACGAAAAAGCACCCTTATGACAAAAAATGAATAACGAAATAAATGGTGTCGAAAACCGAATTCCGAGTAGAAATATATGCCTCGAGCAAGTTCGGCGGCAACCGGGGTCAAAAACCCGAAAACTGGGAAAAATGACCAGTAAACAATTTTAAGAGTACACGACTCGACGAAATGTGAAAATGAATCCCGTATGAGAATCCAAACCCCAATGAGACACTTTGCAACTGCGTAAGTGACCCAAATGAAAATATCTTATGAAAGATACTTTTTTAAAAATCCCAAAGACAAAATATCTTCAAAAAATATTTACGAATAACACCCCAAGAAACGAAAATATTTATGAAGAATCTCTTTATCCATGCCCCCGTGGGAAAAAGAAACAACTAACGAGCTTTTCTCCAAAAGTAAAGCTACGCATTTCAAGGAAACCAACTAGGATGAAAGCAAGTGAAGTAAAAAATCAACTCTGAGCACGAAAAGTGAGGTTACCCAAAAGCACATGTTGTTTTTGGGCAACAGGTCGGGCCGAACACGCCCTTAGAGCCATTGCCAAATTTAAATGACGTGGGTTGTTAAAAAAAGTAGTGCCTGCATTGTCAGGCGAGTACTTGCAGTCTCAATCGCTAAATTGCACGATCCCAAAAAAGGGGGCCTATTTTTCATGAGCCCCGTGCAAGGCAGGATAGTGAAAAATAGGCTTGGACTCGCATAAACCTACTTCTGCATCGATAGAATTCTCCAACGGGAGTAGAAGTAATTGTCTTAAGAAATTCTTCTCAGTAGAAGAGTAACAAGGTCTTCATATTTAACCATTAAAAGAAATATATTTTTTAAAATGTGTGAAAAATTAAATAAATTATTTAATACATCTGTTAAAAATAGGATAGCTCATTAATACTCTCTGGGAGTAAAATACAATGTTCATTTTTAAACTTTTGAAGAAGAAACGCATTTATGTGAAAAAAAAAAAAAAAAAAAAAGGGAAGAAGAAACGCATTTTGTTTCATAAACAACCTTCGCCTAGACAAAATTTGTTCAGCTTCCATCTAAAATTCAAAATTTCCACACAAAGCGGGAAGAAGAAAAAGAGGCCCACAACTCTCACTCTAACACTAAACCCTTGCCTCGATTCCCTAGCCCAAGCAATTCTCTTTGTGGCAGAAACTCACTGCACCGAGAAATGGCGGAGAAGAACAAACCACCACTTAGTCTGAACCAGCGCCACAATCGCTTCCTTCAAGACCTCTCCGCTTCTCAATCTCGTCCCCATTCCAAACCCTCATCTTCAATCCGTCCCCTTGTAGATTCTGGTATGAATCTCTATATATATGTGTATACTTATATATATATATATGTATATGTATGTATGCGTGTATATATACTTGGATTCAATTGTTGAATGATTTTGCAGAGAAAGATATGCAATCCAAGTTCAATCTGGATAACTACGACGATGACGACGTTCCCGGATTTTCCGGAATCGCTGATTTTGATTCTCCTTCTCCTGGTATTTCCCCTCTTTAGTTCTCCCCCTTTCTTTGCAATTTTGGTTTCTCAAATTGATTGAGCTGTGATTGATTTTACAGGTGAGATAAAGCCGTCGAAAGTTGAGTTTGAAAACACTAAGTTACTGCCAAGGGACGATGATGGCGATTTTGTGAACAGACCGATGCTTCACGAATCAAACTTCTCTAGTATAGTTGCTGATTACGATTCTCATCCTTCTGGTATTTCTTTTCGTCTATTATATAGTGGTATTGTATTTTTCGATCCTCTGCTTTGATTTTGGGTTTCTAAAATGACACTTGACTGGTTGTTGAATGAATTATGGCAGAACAAAGCTCATCGGAGGTTGAAGTCGAAGGTAAATTGCTGTCCTGTGGTCATGGTGATGGTGATAGTGAAGCTTTCCTTGATGAAATGGCGAGTTCTGGTATTGCGCTCTCTCTCTATATGTATATATGTAGTTTATCTCTTCTCTTTCTTTGTTTTGATTTCTTGCATAGATTAATTGATGAATGAATTACAGGAGATAAGCAATTGAAAGTCAAGATCAAAGGTAGACGTCGCCTATGCAAAATTTCATTAAAAGATGAAAATATTGATATTAAGGGCAACAAGAAAACTGCAAATGATGACACACAAAATGATGACACACAATTTTGTGATTTTGATTCACCGTCTCCGTCAAGAAATGTTATTGAGAGTGATAATGGTGATAGGAATGAAATTAGGGATATTCTAGATGATTTGAATTCTAAGTTTGACTTTCTCTCGATTGAGAAGAAAAGAGTCCCCAAACTGGTTGATTTGGAAGGTGATTCGTCATCTGTAGTTATGAATGGAGTTTCTCATCAACCAAGTAAAGAAGATTTGCCTGAATATGAAAGTGATACTTCTTCATTTTCGCTCACATCTGATTCCTCTTCGAGTTCGACTGATCAGTCAAGGGTTGGAGGTGGAGTTGGAACCAGGGTGGTTGAATGTGTGGAGGAAAAAAATTTGCAAATCAAGTTTGAGGGTGAAAATTTTGTTGGTAGCCTGAGCAGAATTAAGAACGCTGGTAAAGGACAGAAGAAGATTGAAATTAAAAGGGTGGGTGAGAAATCTGTATCCACGGCCCAACCTACTTCTAGGTTTGAAATACAAGCAGATGAAGAAGATGATGATTGTGTAGTTTTGAGTGGCAAAAATGAGGTTAAAGAAGTCAAGAGGCGACATAGTATGTTCCAAGATAAATTTGATGTTTCTGATGAGGTGAATGTATTGGATGATTATACAGATGAATCAGTTTCTGGCGTTGAGAACCCCATTATTTTGAGAGGTCCAACATCTTCATACAGGTTACCTGGTAAGATTGCAAAAATGCTGTACCCTCATCAACGAGATGGGATGAAGTGGCTCTGGTCTCTTCATTGTCAGGGGAAGGGTGGCATCTTGGGTGATGATATGGGTCTAGGAAAAACGATGCAGGTAAAAATTTGTAAATTTATGCTATTGATATATTTGTCATTTTCCATGTTGTTTGTTGGACAACTGCTTGAGTTGGTCTGTTCCATATTTCAGATTTGTGGCTTTTTAGCTGGACTTTTTCACTCTCATTTGACAAAGAGGGTACTGGTTGTTGCCCCCAAGACGCTACTACCTCATTGGATTAAAGAACTGTCAGCTGTGGGGCTCTCTGAGAAGACAAGAGAGTGAGGCTCTTAGGCTTGTAGTTGAATAGTCCACATGTTTGTTACACAATATGCGATAACTAAAATGTCTTACCTGTCCTATGCAGATATTTTGGAACTTGTGCAAAAGCACGGCAATATGAGCTCCAATATATACTTCAGGTGTGATCTATGTCTTATTATGCTTCCTATTAGGAAGGAAAAGAACAAAATGTGTCTTTTAGGCTAATAAGCTTAGTGTACTAAAACCAGTAAATAAGCAACAACTATAAAAGTAAATATGATTTTTAGGCATCTCATGGAATAGCTTATTTTTGGGCAAGTTAGCTGATCATTATCACCAAAACTGTAATTTGACTTGGACATGACTTTGAAACTCCTTTGAGTTCGACTTTGGTCCTGATATCCATTGGATCATTCACTGTTGTCATTCATTCACTATGTTGAGTTTTGCCTGCATCTTTTATCAACTTAGTTCCTATATAAATTGTAGTTCGGGTTTGAATGCCCTTCATTTAGTTTTTCAGTTAACCTTTAGTAAGAATTTATTTTTGGTTGCAATATTTTCTTTGTTTTCAGGACAAAGGTGTTCTTCTCACAACTTACGATATTGTGCGTAACAATGCAAAATCTTTACGTGGGGACAATAGTTTTCATGACAAGAGGAGTGAGGATGAACTCACATGGGATTATATGATACTTGATGAGGTAAATTTAGTAATCCGTTTGCAGTTCAATTTTGAGATGCTTCAATTTACCTATTGAAATGTTAATAAACCTAATATTATTATAGTTACTAATTGTTCAACAATTGATAATCTGATACCAGTTAAAGAGTTGGCATAATCCTAGTTTCTGATAGTCAGCGTATGCTAAGGCCCGAACTAGACAAAGAGGGAGGGCCAATAGATCGTAAAAATTAAATAATGAATTTTAACTGAATTTTAAATTTCAATAATCACCAAAAAGGGCTAGCTTAGTGCATGAGGCTCCTGCTATTGCGAAGTTTGGAGAAGGTCAAATGTATGTAGCCTTATCTCTGTACGTGGAGAGGTTGTTTACTGTTTTGAACCTGTGACCACCAGGTCATAATGGAGCAACCTTATTGTTGTGCCAAGCTGCCAAGGCTTGCTTATCACAACCAGCTAAATTTCAATTATCACAACTAGCTAAAATTTAGATATCAATTAATAAGCATGTGAAAATAGGTAAAGTGCAGAAATGTAGAGCAAAAACTCATGGACACATTATAATTAAGTTTTACTTGGAAAACTGATTCCAGGTTGATGAAAGTCACAATTAGAAGAAATGTAGACAACACTAGGATACCAGACTATAACCTCGAGAATTCCCATGTTACTTTTGTTTTAATTTTTACATTGGAGTCATGATTATGATTTATGAGTAATGTACTAATGTCATTTCCGTTTTTAAGTTCATTTTGGCCGAAACTAGAGGTTGAGTTAGACTACTAATTAAAATTTTATTTCAATATATATAAGTTTTCCATTCATAATCAAAGGTTTCTATTTTAACTTCAAAAGTGTACTTCAATACTCATGATTACGAGTATTACAATTTCTTTATCTTCCGTCCTTCAATGTTTTGCTAAAATTTCCTTTCGTGAATTTATTTACATCTTTAGGGACATCTCATAAAGAATCCTAGCACACAAAGGGCCAAAAGTTTGCTTGAGATTCCTTGTGGTTATCGTATTATTATTAGTGGCACGCCAATACAAAACAATCTGAAGGTATTGTGTATCTTGTTCTTTCTGGCTTCTTGTATATTTGTTTCCCCCCCCCCCCCCCCCAATACAAAACCAGTAGTTGATATAGTAGGCTGCTCTTTTGGTTTTTCCTTCATATTGATTTGAAACAGGAATTGTGGGCCCTTTTCAACTTCTGTTGTCCTGATCTACTGGGTGACAAGAACTGGTAATTGTTGTGAATTATGCTCCAATTCAATTTTGCTACCTTCTTCTTGTGGAATGAAGCTATGAGCTCTTTTTCCAGGTTCAAGGAAAGATACGAGAATCCTATTCTTCGTGGAAATGACAAAAATGCTTCTGATAGAGAAAAACGTATTGGTTCAACTGTTGCAAAGGTAATACCTCCCCATATGTTTTTTTTTTTTGGTATTGCTTTGAAAGCTGAACTTGATAATGGGATACGGAAAAAGGTACTAAAAGCAAATGTTGGTAATTTGTCTATGTTGTGTTTCTAATGCTTCCTTTTACCTCAGTTTCTGATGCTTCCTTTTCCAATTTATCTCAAAAACTGATCCAATCCAACCTTGTGTACCATTATCATTAATGGTTTTTCAAAACTAAGTATAAAATAAGTTTTTACAAAAATGGGACTTAGAATCTGAAATTTGCAAGTCTCAATCGATCGAGATTGATGGTTGATTGATGGACAGTTTTCCAGTGAACTCGATCAATAGGTTGATCAATCGAGGAGTTATTCGAGAAATTAAATTCAATTATGGTGTATGTCGATAGATCGACGGTGAGACAGAAAGGTTTGATTGATAGGTCAATTGATGGATGTTTTCGAATCCTGAAACTTCAGGATTCTCCTAAATCAGTGTTTTGAATGGTTTTAATGATCTAAAATGTATTGGACTCTTATATTGACTATGAAGTATAAACACAGGTTTTGGTCAAAGTAAGAGTAAATCCTTCATAGTTTAACATAGAAACACATATAGAGAGATTTTAAGAGAAAATTTGGAGTGCGATTATAAGATTTTTGTTTGTTTTACCCTTTTAGAGAGATTCTCCATATATTCAATCTAGGAACGAAACTGTTGGGAAACGGGTATGGAAACGGAAGCAGGATTATTATTTTTTGTTTCCCCACTTGTTTTTGCGAATTATAAAAGAGAGAGAATAGAGAAAAGAAACCTTGGGACGATTTTTTTTTTTTTTTTTTTCATAATTGGTTTTGTATAAAAGAAAGAAAAAGTATTTACAGGCTCACAGAAGACATTCCCTCAGAATGAAACAGAAATGGAAAACTTATTTCAGAAAAAGAAATGAAATGTAAACAAATCAATCTAAATAATGTCTCTAAGAGGGACATTATAAACATCAAGAACTTCAAATAAAATTTGTCGAGGCACCTCAGAGGTGGACCTAGAACTGTGGTCATGAAGTCTTCGATTTCTCTCTTGCCAAATTCCCCAAAGACCAGCAACTAGCATAGTATGAACCATTTTGCTACTCTGCTGCAAAAACCAAATCAACAAATCATCCACTGAGTTCAAAAGAGTAAAATCAGTCCTCCAATCAAAGAGTATCTGCCAACCATTTCCAGAAATTCCTTGCAAATGGACATTGAACAAACAAATGGTTTCTGGTGTCAATCCCTTGTAAACAGAGCGAACATCTTGGAGCCAGCTGCACCTTTCTTCTCTGCAAATTATACATAGACGGCAGTCTATCTTGGAACAGAAAGACTCCATTAACTGACCACCTCGGTCTAGCTTTGCTCCAGCAAATTTTAGACCAAGTAACCTCTGGATTTATGGCCCTACAGCTTTCCTACACATTTTTGAATGAGAAATTTCCTCCATCCCAAAGTAACCTATCAGTTCTAGAGTGAATTGTCAATGTACACAAATAATCTCTAATAGGTTTAAAAATATCCTCCTGTAACAATTCAAAATTCCATCCACCATCAATCATTAGTTGAGACATCCTTGGGACAATTTGTAGATCGTCAAGACAGCACTCTATGGAGAATCCCAAATTGAGAAAGGCCAGCAGCATCATGCAAACAAAACCACCATCAATCCAATTGAGAACACCTCTTGTATCCCAAATAAGCACAGCAGCACTTGACAGCAGGCAACCCGACTTTGAATACTTTGTTGACAGACTAAACGAACTTGGACTTGGGCTCGTAATATATCCCCGGAAAGCCTGTCGAGTCTACTTTCTTTTTTTTATCCTAGTCCTGTCGAGTCTGCTTTCCAATGATATTATAATTCGTCTACAGATTCCAAGTATCTTGTAAGATGTGGCTTAAAACCAAATGCTTTGCAGAGGTTCGCAATTCTGTAGAAACTTCAACTTTGCAGACTTTGTTCAGTGGTCGAATGAACTCCAAATCCAACCAATAATATATGGTTGGAAAGCTTATCAAGTCTAGTTTCTAACCATATGATGGGCATCTCAAAACTTCAAGTATTTAAGAGAAATCGCCAAAATACAGACAAGAACATGAATCTTGATTTGTGTGGCTTCAAGAACAGCCCCAAATCTTCACTCCAATGACCTTGATTAAGTGCACAAGTTTTGTAAGAGTTGTCACCAAAAGAGTAGTATAGGAATCCTTGGTCTAGAGAGAGAATGTCTTGAAACAACTATGTTGTAGTAGTCTAGTGTGTAAGACACCCAAACATACATATTTATATATATATAGGGGTGGCTGCCCACCTATGTGTGTGTGTGTATATATATATATAGGGGTGACATTAAACACGTCACAATATATAATGAACAAAAACATGACTGTAATGAGTCTAATGACAAGGTAGGAGAGTAACATCATATATAACATAATACATATTTTTTATATTTGAGTAGCTTGATCTTCTAACTTATCAATTGATTATAGAAATTATCAATTGATTAAAGTTCTTCAATTGTCTAACTCAATAAATATATAAATAAAAATATATATTTATATTAATTGTGTCCATGCCAGAATTTGATGTGTCAGCGTTAGGGCTGCAAATGAACCTAGCTGTTCAGCTGTTCATGAACAACTCGGGTTCGGGCTTGAGCTCATTCATTTAGTAAATGAGCCGAGCTCGAGCTTGATTTTCAAGCTTGTTTAGTAAACGAGCCGAGCTTGAACAACATTTAGCTCGGCTCGTTAACTCAAAGGCCCATTTGTATTACCATTCTACATTTAAAATGTTTAGCCCATATGAATATAAGTTTGGCCCAACTCACATCATTTCATAAACAAGGCCCAAAAGTTATAATTCTTTAGCCCATCATCCAAATAAAATTTCATCTCAGCTGTTGGTTTGTTTAGTTAAGAAATAAGATTATAAGAATAAACCCTAAACAAAAAGTCTCCTATAGCGGTAAGCCTGTACCTCAAACTAGTTCCTATCACCTGTGTGTGCAAGTCCTCTTTAGCTCCACCACATAATGCAGCCCTCTATATGCCACACATCTCTCTCTCTCTCTCTTTAATGGATCTTATGCTATGTTTGGTCGGAGGGAGGGATTGAGGAGGGATGCATGAGAGAGGGAATAAAATCATTTTTCCGTTTTTGGTTGGAGGGAAGGGAAAAGAGGAAGGAAGCAAGGAGGGATGAAGCATTCCTCCCTCCTTTGTATTTTTCTATTTGCTCAAAATTGGGAGGAAGAGGAGAGAGAAAAAAGTAATAACTAATATAAATATGTATTTTCCATTTCCAACCTTCCTAAAAATGTGGAATAGATATAGAATTTTTAGATTTTTAAATAATAAAGGTATATTAGTAAAAATAGTATGAAAACCATTTTTCCCTCCTTTCAACCAAACAAAAAAAATGTGTCACCCCATCCATCCTTTCTATTATCTATTCTGTCCAACCAAACAAAAAGTGAGGGAAACACCTTCCCTTCCCTAAGGATGCCTCATCCATCCCTTTCCCTCTCCCTTCCATCCATTTTTCCATTCCTCCAATCAAACAGAGCATTAAGGGCACTCTCTCTCTCTCTTAAATGGACCTCGAGCAGTGGAACATATATGTAGATCGAGTTGTTAAAAACTTGTAAGGTTTGATTTCATCTTGAAAACTTGTTTAGTATTTCTTCTTGAGATTTAGTTTTTTGAAAGAGAGCATTGTGATTTCTTGTATTGGTGATAGTTGTGTACGTAACCGAGCCCGAGCTTGTCGAAATTCTACCGAGTTGAGCCTGAGCTTGGCTAAACTAAGCTCGCTTGAAGGCCCCGAACACGAGCTGAGCCCTAACAACCTAAAGCTCGGTTTGGCTCGGTTCGTTTGCAGCCCTAGTCAGCTTATTCGTATCGTATCCAGTTGGCCCATTTTTTTGTGATCAAACAAAATGAAGTCAAAATAAATATCTTGCATAGATACCATCTTGAGAATACTTGTTCCCATGCCAGTAATAAATAATTACCCAAAATACCCAGTATGATGACCCATGGGTCACTGTAGTAAATTAAAGTAATCAAAAACAAAAACAAGAGTCCATTATTCTCCTAGGTTTAAGAGTTACTTGCTACTCCCTCCGTCCCAATTTAGTTGTCCATATTTCCTTTTTGAGTTGTCCAAAAATACTTGTCCACTTTTTGAATTCAAACAAAATATTTCACATCGTTCTGTAAATACCTTTGAAGTTCTAAAAAATTTCAAACTTATTATATGTGTATTCACATTTAAAAGGATATTATAGTAATTTTGAAGTGCATGTCCCCTTAAAAGTTCTAGTCCTCAAAAGGGACATATATTATGGGACAGAGGGAATATAACACCAATAAATGATTTATTATGATGGCTATTATAATTTTCACTTATAGCCATCCGGTTCAATGTGTTTATACACACTAACATGAATGGTTTTGAATCTTCCACTCAGATGGCTGAGATAATCCACCCTATCTCACAGAAACCAACATGTTACATTCTACTAGATAGAATGTCCAATCCTATCACTCAATGTGAACGGGTTTTGATAATGTAAATCAATGATTTATATCCCTTATGCATGAGACTCTCTCTATGCATCTAAATCATCACTGAATATTCATTGCGCTAGTGGACATTGACTATAAGTAAGTGGTCTATAATTTACTGAACCAGTTGAAGTTTACTAAAAAGCAAGTGAAGACTGAGGAGCATGCGGAACTCCAGTCTATTCTTGCCATTCCAACTTTCACTGAGACTTTCCTGGCGCATTAATGAATATTAGGTAGATTAGTTTCCCTTCCCGCTGGCACCCACGCTAGGCTTCCCATAAGGAAGCGGCCCCACAGAGCACCGAGCATAGACAATTCATTCAATAGGCAATACAATCATTCACGATAAATATATGTAAAGTACTAAAAATTCAGATTAAAATATCAATCACAATTCATTTGTTGGCTTTGTTGGGCACACAATCCGAACAGGGACCAAGCATATTATTTTTGAGTAATTAAATACACAACCAAGGAACTGTTTAATAAGTTTCCTATCACATCAACTTGAAAAACAAAGTATAGAGACACTGAGCAATCACTAAAGAAGCAGTTTGTGAGGAGCGAAGGTTGTTGATAGATCAAAAGAATGACTTGGAGATCTTCTAAGGATGGTATTCTACTTTGTCTAGAGATCAATTAGGAGTTTGAGTGTGACAGAACTGTGATTTGATTGTAGGACATCTCTTTCTCGATAGTGGATTGTGCCTTTACCAGACGAGGTCCCATGGTTTTTTACTCTCGTTTGAGGGGTTTTCACTTAAAAATTGTGTGTCTTGTCTATTCTTTTTAATTTAATTTATTTTGTTTTATTTATTGCTTTCTGCATATTTGTGAATTGGATCAAAGTTGCATACTTATATTTTCACAAATAACAAGTGAAGAATTTATTGAATAATTAAGGGTAGTTTTAAAGCAGAAAAATATCTGAAAGAACCATTCTACCCCCCACCAAGGTCTAAAAGATCAGGATGATCCTACAGATTTGTACATATCAATGGGTATTTAAATATATTAATTGACTTCTCACTATGATGAACATAGATTAGAGAATAGTGTGTACACATGCGTGTGTGAGCAGAATACAAAGAACTGAGAGAGAGAGAGAGTGACTGAAGATAAAGATGACATTGTTTTCTTTTTCAAAGGGAGCTGAGATGGTGCTGAGGTGACGTGGACAATGGTTTGTGATGGCGGTGAGGTGATGTGACGGTGGTGAGGTGATGTTGGAGTTGTGAGAGATGGTAAGACCACCCAATTCTTTTTGGGTGCTTAATGAATACTTGTTAAAAAAAATAAAAAATTGTGATCTAATTTATGTTTACTTGTAAAAAAATAATATAATAAATTATACATGTAACTTATTATTAATCCTATTTCTTGTTTAGGTTGATATAAAACTTCCAATGAATAAAAACATTTGAATATAGGAATTTAGTATTTGATAGTACAAAGCTTTAGATTTAAAAAGCAAGATATGGGGTTCAAAAGTTTCGATTATGGATTGAAGTTTCTGAAATATTTTATATGTAGCCAGTAAATTAATTCAGGAGCTCTCCAAATACTCTACTTTGGTTCTAAAACAACCAAGTCAAATAATTTCTCTTTAAATTTCAATTATATGTTGTTGATGTTGTTTCAATATCATAATTTGCTGTAAAACAATAATTTTATTTACTTTCATCTTTAGATAATTTAAGATCATTTTCTAATTCTCTTATATAAAATGTGCATAGCATGTGCACTTTAATAGTCAATCTATATGTGTGTGTATATATATAATAAGGCTTTGGGTTCGGTTTGGTTCAGATTGATTTTTTTGGACTTCAACCCCCAACTGAACTGATCTCTACAATTTTCTTATTTTGGAAACCAAGCTGAACCACAGTGATCTGATCAGACAGGATCGGATCGACAATTCTGTGGTTTAAATGTGCACCCCTAATAAATGTTTAATACCCGTATTAACATGAATTTGTCAATGGTTCGTGGCCTTAACTGCCATGTACACCTTCAAGCTCACAATTGACTTGTAATATTGATTAGACATAGAAGTGAAGGGTTTCTAAGCACCTTGTGAATCGATCATAATCAGATTAAATGTGACTTTTGGATAACATAAAAGAACAGTGGAAATTCTAGGGAATTGCCTGCATAATATTAAGTTATTACTATTAGCACCATTAATAGAAAACTTTGACAGTGAAAATACTCGCATTAAAATTTTAATATTCTACAATCCAAAAGCTTTATGGAAAACAATTTTAATGTTGATCCACACTAATGCCCACACAAAATTTCATAGTTATGTATTAGCTGTCATAAACATTTCCTTTAGGGAGGAACCTTTAGGGAGGAATTGGGCATGAATCAAACCCAACATGAAATTGGTGGGGTTGGATTAACCTTAATCTTGTTTGTGTCTATATCAACTAGATTAATCTATTTAATTAATTTTCTTGTGTTTGGCAACTCGCTTAACTCAGTTTGACTTGTTTGGTTAATGAATCGTATCAAGCCAGCCCAAAACCTATCAGTGACCTGTTTTAACTTGAATAGAAGGTAATTTGTTTTACTGATATATAATGAATAATTTAGTCATTCCATAATTTTTAATTCCATGTTTTTTTTTTTTTTTGTTGTTTTTCCATTTATATCTGGTTTTTAATTAAGATAAAATATTAAAGAAATTATTAAACGGGCTGTGTCGTGTTATAGGTAACTCATTCATTAAATAGGTTACATGGGTTGTGCCACGTTACATGTTTAATTTTTAATTTTTATGTTTTTAAAACAAAAGTTGTTACCTCTTTAATTAACATGTCGTGTTCATGTCAAGGGTGTTTGACCCCTATAATAAGTGGGTCGTCTTTGGGTTGACTCGTTTAATAGAATACCCTTATTTCAAGATGAATATTCGGCTTGTTGACCTGAATTGCCACTTTCAATTTTCTTAAAGTCCTTATATAACTAGATATTTACTTTATTGTTCTAGCCTTTTCTTCTTTTTGAAACCTTGCTATAAATTTTATATTGGTTTGTGAATAAAAGTTATGAAGCATAGATATGTGCGTGGACACGAGTAAGATACGATACATACATGACTGTGATGTTATGGCCCGAATTGGGTGTCAGGTCACGCCGCGACCCGTTTTCGACCCGACGACTCGTTGATTGAGCTTTGTGTGGGCCTTAAATTTTTGACCTTTTTTTTTTTTTTGCTTGCGGGTTGTGGACTCCATTTAGTACTGTCTTGTAGCCTGATATATAAGGGTGTTTAGGGTTTGGAGTGGGATAGAAAGAACTGAAAATTGCATAAATGAGGGTGAGAGCGAGAGCTAGGGTTTCTGGGCTGAAACTTGTAATCTCCAGATTTTTGCATAGTGAATCTTCACTGTGGACTTAGGCTTTACCAAACCACGTAAATTTTTGTGTCCCCGCCGTGTCCTACACGTGTCTGCCACTTTGCCCTATTCCAAGCATATATTTGTATTGGAGATATGCCCGACACCATCATAGCACCCCGTAGAGACATGTTTGTGCTATCTATATTGAAAGTGATCCTATCCTCCAGAAAAATCTGACCCCTAAACTACAATTTGATGGGTGACTCAGTATAATGCTACCCAGTCTTTAATACAAATTGTAGAATCATTAATTTGTAGATAGGAGATTTTTGTATATGAACCTAAGTTTGAGTAGTTAAAGTTGTTCAAGTTTAATTATGGTGAGAACTTTTAAAATTGACATTTCATTTTGATGTATAACAATTGAAAATCAATTTAATTTTGATCAATCCCCAACCCACACCCACCCACTCACACGAACACAAAGTCCCCCTTGGAGGATATGGTAGGAGTAGAAGCCTTGTTCCTTAAGCTCCTAATGTAAATAAAGGACACTTGCTTTTAATCCTTAAGTAATGATACATTGGGTCATTCTGTAGGCACTTCATGTAGTTACTGTGATGCTTTACATCAGTCTATATTACCTTTTAGCATGCACTCTTAGTTTCTCTCACTATTATTTTATCTTATGTGTGGTACTCACAGCGTACCTACCAGGAAAAAAGAGGGACTCAGAGTAAAATATACTATGAAAATTTCATTGTAAATTTACATTTCTTGCACGTTTGGAACTTTTTTTGTTTGGCCTTGTTTAACCTTGTCTTCATTGCTAGTTGTGAACTAATTTCCCTATAAAGAAATGTTAATAATCCTTATTATTTTCTCACAGGAGTTAAGAGAACGTATTCAACCTTATTTTTTGCGTCGGTTGAAAAGTGAGGTATTTCGCGAAGACGATTCTACAAACACTGCCAAACTTTCCAAAAAGAATGAGGTTATTGTATGGCTAAGATTGACTAGTTGCCAGGTACAACCTCCTCAACTCATTCCACACTAATTTCATCTCTCATTGTAATTTGGGTTAGTGAAAATGTTAAGCTAACACTTTCTTTTCTTTGTTGTAGCGACAACTCTATGAAGCATTTTTGAAAAGTGAGCTGGTTCTTTCAGCATTTGATGGCTCACCATTGGCTGCACTCACGGTATAGTTTTAGACAGTTTCCCTTTCCTGTTACTTCATTAGCCTTTTGTTTTTAGTCTGGTAGAAACATAGAAATTCATTGAAAAAATTTGTTGCATAATGTATAATCTACTTGACTCACACCCATCTACAATGAGTTAATCGTAAAGAAATAATATTGTCTCAAAGGGGTAACGCATGCTATAGTACTTTCAAGTACGTGGTTCTTAATGTTGCTAATTTGCTAAGGTAGGCATTAGGCAGTAGAGTTCTTTTAGTTTCTATTTCTAATGCAGTTATTTATTTCAAAACAATGTACTGATGTTGATGGATGGGTAGCTCAACTATGTAAAAATTCATCATCATCCTTCCCTTTATTCCATATGAATGCAGTTGGCCACATGAGTTCTCTTTTTCCATTCTATTCTATTACAAGCCAATTCTCCTCTAATATTTAACTTTTTAAAATCATTTCTAATGATTTCATCCCATGTTAATTAAGGGCGCCCTCTCCGCCTCCTACCCTCTATGCAAATTAACTTTCCTCTTCTCACCAGATCTATAGGCCTTCTGTGTATATGTCCATACCACTTAAGTCTACTCTCTCTAATCTTATCACTAACAGCTGCCATACCTAATTTCTCCCTCACATGTTGGTTTGTGACCCTGTTTCTTCTAGTGACTCCTGTCATCCATCTTAGCATCTGCATTTCCGGTACTTGAATTCATTGCTCTTGTTCCTTTCTTAAATCCCAACACTCAGCGCCATATAAGATAATTGGCTAATAAATTGTTCTATAAAATTTTCCTTTTTGTTTATATGGCATTCGCTTATCACACAAAACGCCATTAACTTGCCTCCATTTTGTCCAACCTGCGCCAATTCTACTAGTTATATCACATCTATCTCACCCTCCTTCTGTATTAATGACCCTAAATACTGAAATTGTGCACTTTGGATAATTCTTTAATTTTGAAGTGTCCAACTCTTCACTAAATTTGCATTTCATGTATTCAGTTTTCCCTTTCGATTCTAATGCAAACTCCACCTTTCTAATTTAGTTGCTAATTTTTCTTTAGAAGTGTCTAGTAGTACTATGTCATTGGCAAACAACATGCACAAAGGAATGTTTTCTTGTAAATCTAATCTAAATAAGGAAAAAAAAAAGACTTAGATGATCACCTTATGTAGTTACAAATGATAGGGTTAAAAGTTGACATTGCACCTCACCTGAGTTGAATGTGAAAGGCTGTAATCAGCTACAGATCTTATTAGCCATACTCCTATTTATATTACATGGTGAGTATTACATAAACGGAAAGTAAATCAAATCACAATTCCTATGCCTCTGATATAGGTTGTCATATCACAGATCCTATGCCTGTAATATAGGATGTAGACGATGAAAATAATATCAAATCCCTGAATTAACAGTTGAGTAGGCATCAACGTAATTCTCAAGATCTTCCTCAATCAAGAGTTACTTTTAGTCGATAATGTGACTGTTTACTTTTCTTGGGCACTTGGCAGACTTGTATCCTGAAACTTTGTATGTGGAGGACCAAAATTCAGGTTCCATAGTAACTTTCACATTTGCTGTCCATATGCTTTCTGACAGTTTTACTGATGTGGCAGTACTTCGTTCTGCACTTCTAGACTGCATATGGCGCTGAAATCTTTCTTCAGTAGGCTATCTTATCCAATTTTCACCTTGATATGCCTTTCTTTGCTGCCCTCTGTCTCCCAATATCCAGATTCAGGGGAGAAATGATTCCATATTGTTCTAATATTGTGCTCAGTCGAGAAATTTGATGTTGCAGATTTTGAAACTCTTGTTTTGTGGCTATCTTGCTTCCTTGCCTAGCCATAGATCCGCAGTAATCACGATCATACCGGAAAGGCTCTGATACCACTTGAGCCAAACAGGGGGAAAAAACAGAAGTCTCTTTACAGTAGTAAGAAAGACTGGGGTTACTTCAATCACCGTTGGAGCCTAGATTTCTAAAGGGAAATCTGGGAAAGCCTAAAGAGAAGTTTAAAATCTGATAATATCTCAAAAGTATTGATAAAGACTTGGTTACAACAGATATAGAGGGCTGACCCTTTATAATACAACTATTAATGACACTTCAGTTTTCTAGACTCACTTTTAAGATACCCACAAAGCATTAATAACAACTTTTACCATTCCCATGGCATCATAGATTTCCATACTATAATTACTTCCAATAAACTTTGAGTAGACATCTTCCAATACACTATTGACTGCATTAATCCTGACTAAACACTTTCCAAAACACCATAAATTATTTGCATCAGGACCGTTTTTGTGAAGGGGACTCGAATTGACATAGATTCAAGTATGCAATTAGTTGGTCAACTTCCTTTCTAGCGTTGCAGAGATCCATTCTGAATTTTGCAAGTAATATTTTAAATAAAAAAGCTTCTTAGTTGAAAGTTTGGAGGAATTCATATGTTAGCTGATATGAGGATTTGGTTTCTATAAGCATAAGTTATATTTCATTATCTTGTAAAGGTTGTTGATAAGCATATAAGTACCGATGAGTGATTCAAAATGCAATGATCGTTGAACAATTGAAAGGGGTGTTATTTCTTTTGAACCATCCAAATGCTCTTGATTAAAATACATGCAAATTACATGAGGGGCAACTGTTTTCCCCTTAAGAAGAAAGTAGTATGTTTCATGGTGTTGACTGATAACATTCAAATTTCTGTGTTTCCGTTACTCAGACTGAAGGATTCACACTGAATCAAAAAGAGTCTGAGCACGTCTCCTTTCTTATTTTTTAAGAAAAGAGATGGACTACACTTTCCTGCTTTTGGTCATTTAGCTGTTTGGGGTTGCCATTTTCTCCTCAATAAAGATAATAATAAAATATCACGTGTTTTGGTGCAGATTTTGAAAAAGATATGTGATCATCCACTTCTCTTAACGAAAAGAGCCGCTGAAGATGTACTTGAAGGGATGGACTCAATGCTAAACCAGGAAGACCATGGTGTGGCAGAAAAATTGGCAATGCACATTGCTGATGTCACTGAAAAATACAACTTTGAAGAAAAGCATGATTATGTCTCATGCAAGCTATCTTTTATACTATCTTTATTGGTTAGAAATGTCACAAGCTATTGAATGGATACTTTGGTTATATTGTTTGATTGCTTTATTCTAACGTTAAAATGCTCTATCACAGGATAACTTGATTCCGGAGGGGCATACTGTTCTTATCTTTTCTCAGACACGCAAGATGCTTAATCTTATTCAGGTTAGTCTTTTATCACTTTGTAATTTAATGTTATAAATTCCTTTTTCAGGACTATCAAGTTTTAGTGTTCTCTGCATATGATAATATGTTATCAATTTAGCTAATGCTATAGGATAATCCTTGGTTAGCTATGGACAAGAATTATGAGTTATATAAATATTTTTAAATTTTTTATTTCTGCTTCAGCACGAGACTAATTTTTGTGACATTTTCTTTCCAGGATTCATTGGTATCTAATGGTTATCAGTTCTTACGCATTGATGGTACCACTAAAGCAAGTGATAGAGTAAAAATTGTTAATGTTAGTGTTCTGCTTTATTGAAATGATTTAGATAAATGCTATGGAGTTTTTCCCCCCTCCAATTTTCATGTTGAGTATCACAGGATTTCCAAGAGGGGATTGGTGCTCCTATCTTTCTCTTGACATCTCAAGTTGGTGGTTTGGGCCTTACACTTACAAAAGCAGACCGTGTGATAGTGGTTGATCCAGCATGGAATCCAAGGTGCATGGTTTTACTTTTTCCTGTTCAAAGTATTGGACTTCAACAAGCACAAAACTTTATAAATCTAAAACAAATATCAGGTAGACCCATTATAGTTGGGGCGTGCTCCTCTAGTGATAAACATTATAGTGGGAGTTCATTTCCATTTATCATGTGCAAATTGTCACTGCCCTTTAACTCCTTTTCTTCCTTATTTGAGTATCTTTATAAGTAAATGTACCTTTATATTTTCCCAGTTAATTATTTGACACCTCAGCTCTCCCTCTTCTCTATTTTGTTAAAATACACGTGATTAATTTTCTTTATCGGTCTTTCGTTCATTTTATAATGTAATGTGTTAACATGTTTTTTTTTTTCTTTTCTTTTATTCTAGATAGTGTTTGTAAGGAACCATTTTCAGTTCTACTCTGTTACATGGGAAACAGGGCAAAATTTTCTATTTATATTTCTGTAGCGAAATAACAGTTGGAAAAAACAAGATCAAATAACTCAAAAGTATCTTTGAGCAGTACAGTTCTCATTTGCCTCCAGAACCTGGCTAGGTTGCGTATGGTACTTCATTTAGCTATAGAATGGTTCTTAGTTTTTAACACTCTGCCATTGTTCCATATTGGGTGCCATTAGAAATGGTAAAATCAAGGGGTAATAAGCATGAGGATGTATGCTCGAGTGTGGGAGCAACCACTTTGTGCAAAATAATGCCAAAGATAAGGTCTGTTTCCAATCTTTTCCTCTCATCACATCACGCAGGTGGGACAGCACTGCGTAGTGGCCTGTTCTTTTCCTATCATGCTTCCAAGAAAGGTGACAGTGTGGCTTTGTGGCAGAAGTGTTATTAACCTTGTTTTTTTATGCTTGCAGTACTGATAACCAAAGTGTTGATCGTGCATACCGAATTGGGCAAACGAAGGATGTCATTGTGTACAGATTGATGACTTGTGGCACAATTGAAGAAAAAATATACAGAAAGCAGGTTTGACAAATATATTCTTTTTGTCATTATTGTGCACACATTTTTTTAATGCAATGACATAATGTCACTGGCCAAAAAACGAAAGAGAAAAGACAATAAATAATTATTAGCCCTGGTGGTTGATGCTTCCTGAGATTGCACCGAAGAGTTGAAAGTTACATTGCTAGAGAAATTTGTTGATTGTAGCCACTTGTGCAAGTATTTAAGATACTTTCATTAGTTGCATACTTAATCATAAATAAATTATGTAATTTTATTTGAAAAGAAAGTGTAATTTTCAATTCATTTTTATTTTTATGAACTTAGATTTGTTTGTTTGTAGTGCATGAGAATGCTTGCCCAAGGGCCCTTTAAAACTTCAGGATCTTTATTTAATCGAATGATTGAATAAAACTTGTCTGCAATCTGCATGTTGTTCATTACAATGAAAATGCATCCTCATGGAAGAATAGTTGCCTAGGTAAGGCAGAGATGTCTTCAATTTGTTTCTTCTATGTTATAACCTTGACTGCTTAATTTTCATGATATAGATATTTAAGGGGGGTTTGTTTAAAAGCGCAACTGAACACAAAGAACAAACGCGGTACTTCAGTCACCAGGTATGTTCTTAGAAAGAGCAATTCTTTCAACACACACACACACACGCATTTGTTTTGTTTTAACTTGCATACTTCTAGCTCACAAACATCTCGAAGCTAACATGCTCTAAATACTTAATTTCAATTGATTTTTCCAGGATCTTCAGGAACTTTTCAGTCTCCCCAAACAGGGGTTTGACGTTTCTCCTACTCAGCGGCAGTTGCATGAAGAGCATGGTCACCAACACTCAATGTACTAAGTTTATTTCAGTTGAAATATATATTTCTTCAAGATTCTTTTTTTCCCTTTTCTTTAATGTTCTTTAGGTTCATTGTAGTAAAATTGTTTCTGATTGGTTTAAGGAATGGAACCTGAGGCACTGATAGAGAGCCGTGTAAGGTCCGTTGATCTAGACCTAGAGAGGTGTGAATAGGTCTGGTACGTTGTTTAACCATAATTTAAAGAATTTTTGAATGTAAAACTTGTTTAACAAAAATTCAAATCCAAAATATAGCAGATACTAAAAACCTAACAATCCATAACAATGGTTAGCAATAAAATAGTTGAGTAAAGTAATCAACACCAGATTTTTATGTGAAACATCCTAAGCAGGAAAAAAACCATGGGACTTAGTCCAGACAAATCCTATCCACTATAAGAGATAGATAGATTACAACATTAGTTCATAGATTATACCTCAAGAATTCTCTCGTTAACTCTAGACTCAGAATACTCTAAACTTATCCCCGAAACTCTCCAAGCAGTCCCCGTTCGTTAATAACATCCTCTCCTCACAAACCTGCTTTTCTAGCGATTCAGTCTCAACCACTGGTCGTGCAGGCTTTATTCACATACGGTGGATTGAAAGACTGTGTTGAACACTTATTTGTAGTGTGCAACAATAGCTGTCAACACACGAAGATTACACTTACCAAGTAATGCAGATGATGAATGTAAAAGAAAATTGAGATGGACTTTTGAAACTCACAATAATATGCTCTCTCTATAACTGGATTTTCGTAGTCAGCAGCATCATCGCTGGATTACCAAATGTGAAGGATTTTGGGTTGATTATGGTGGTGGTCGACCACTTTTCCAACACCATTTTCTTTCTATCCCGAATCACGTGTATATGTATTTTTCCCTAGCATTATGTATGTATAGGCTACAAAGTAGTATAGAGAGATTAGGGTGTTTAAAACAAAGTTAGAAATTGCTTTTCCGAAAGGTTCAGTTACTCGACAACACTCCAGAGGCCCTCGATTGATCGCTCGATAGATCAAAGTCTTTTGTAGGTTTATACTTGAAAATTTTCCAAATGAAGTTTCCGAAAAACTCCCTCCATGCAAGATTAAAATAATTTAAAGATTCAAAATAATATTAAAACATGGAATAGAGGGTTCCGAATTACGTGACTTTGGGAGGGTAGTGTCCTTGTTTGTTTGGTGGTGCTTGTGGAGGGAACAAAGTAGGAGATCTTTTGATAAGGGTGGTTTCTATTAAGCAAAAACAATCAAGCCATGTGTAACAAAAGTAAAATATGCATTCCAATTCTCAATTAACTTAATAATTTTCACCAATTCTCCCCCTTTTATCACAAAATTGACAAAATATGAAATATGCAGAGAATATAATAAACTGCATATTCCATTAATAAAGTATAGAAACATTGCATATGCCGATAATGGGATAAAATAGCTCCAACTAAGTCTTATTGACTTTTCAAATTGTTGGAGGAACACGAGTTAAACCTAAAAACATGAGAAACATGTAGATAAAAATAAACTAGACATAACATAGATAAAATAAATAAACATAAAAATAATCAGTGATCTCCACGATCAGCTCCACCATCATTGCCGCTTGACCCAACACCACCAAGTGAACTTAGAATCAACTCTTTCAAACAATGAATATCGTATTGGATGTAGCCAATGATGTCACATTGAGTGAATCAAAACCATTATTCATGGTGGTCAATTGGTTCTCCACATGATCAAAGCGTGGTATCCATGTGGTCAAGGCGAGTGTGGACATGCTGGAGGTAACTCAAGGGTTGGTCATTGTGATGCATATACAACCCTCTAAGTGAAGCTCCATATTATAAATATCATCGCGTGTGGTATAAGGAGCATGTGGAGGAGGGACGCCTTGATGCAGTTGTGGTTGTGCAGGGGCTTGTTGTTCCTCATCATCGCTTATTTTCTTCGGAAAATCTTCTTCCTCATTGCTCAATCGATAGTCCATGTGCTCATATCGGAGGCTAGAAGTAAGATGAGTGACTAACTTGTTCATGAAAGTTTTGTTGAGAACTCCATTCCATTTAGCCAACTCCATTCCATTATCGTTGAGGAGAGAACAAATGTGTCATGAGAATGGAATGCCTACAGCTTTGTTTTTAATTCCGATAATAATCATATGGCGACTAATATAATCGGGGGCAATTATATTGCATTGTCAAGCCCCATAAATAATGAAATACGAGAAGATGGCAAGTGAGCTTAACATGATTCTCAGGTTCAATTTTGAACTCAAAAAATTCTTCGAGAAATTGAAACTTAGGCTTCAAGTTAGTGTCTTTAAAACGAGAAATATGTGAGGCTTGGCGATCGCATATTACCAAATTGATGTTGGCGATCAGTATGCTACTGACAAGCATGGACACTGACAAGTGTCATAAGCACGATATGACATGGATACGTTGAAAGTTGACACGTTAAATGCTAAAAAAGTAGGACACAAACACAACATGGACGCAACTAATATAAATATAAATAGTTATTTATTTATTTGTTGAATATGTAAGGCAATTATAGAACTTTAATTAATTTATATTTTCTATACTAAAGTCTATTAGTTTGAAGATGAAGCTATTTGAATATCAAAAATAATATACTATTTATATATGAATCATATGATATTAATCTCGTATCTTTTCATTATAGTTATGTTTTTGTTCATTACAAACTTTGACACATGTTTAGTGTCAATTTTTCAAAGAAAAAAAGGTTGGACACTTTGATATATGTTCGTAATGTTGTTTCCAGGACTGTTTTGTGTTTGTTTTATATAAGATGAAGAGTGTAGGATGTGTTGATCAATTGTCCGGAATGAGTTGATCAGGTGTCCGAAAACACGTGTCCTGTAGTGTCCTTGAAGTGTCGTTGTCCGATAAGGACACGACACCTAGAAGGTCTCTTGCTTCTTAGGTATGCCATCTTCCTTATTCTTTGGTAATACTAAGCCATTCTCCTGTTGTTCACCTTGAATGTATTGTGGGATCTGTTACATGGAATCTTCAAAAGTAGTGAAGTACCCGTGTCGGACACATATCCCTCGGACATGGGTATGGGATATGTGTTTGACACTTTTGGTTAGACATGTACTTAAAAAACATATCCAATCATTCAATTACATTATATTATTACTTTAAAAAGAGTTAAATGCCTATATTGAACATTATATAAGATAAAAACATTACTTTACTTTAGAAAATAAAATAAAATAATTAATAAAATGAATATTTAGCTGTGTCCGTGTGTCCTTCTGTTTGGAGATTTGACACGTTCAACACATGGATACATACCCGTGTCCGACACCCGTACCCGAGTCCATGTAACATAGATTGTGGGTGAAGTCCTTCTCATGCAAGTTTGCATAGAAAATCTGCACCGAAGTGATGATGGGGAATCCATGAGCCAACATCGCACCCTTCCAACCACGAGAAGTGATAATTGAATCGACACCATAGTTGGCGAAGTCATTGAGTTCCACCCTTTGTTCAACTATGAGCGGATGGTGATTGAAGAGATCGAGTAGTGTGTACATGCATGAGATGTAATCAGAGGGTCTTTGGACTTGAGCAAAGCAAACTGGGGATTGTTTGGTTGAGCTTGGGAAAGTACTTGTCCCAACGATTAGCACAATTAGAGCAAGAGTCCAAAAAGTAAAAGCCATTGTAGCGAGTGGGCAAGAAGAGCTTTCGAGAGAGAGAGAGAGCATTGTAGAGAGAGAGCTAGAGAGTAAGGAAGGGTTTTTGGATGTATGAGAGGATTGGTTAGAAAGCACATTTATTTATAGAATTTTAGGTCTTATTCCTAATCCTTATAAGAGGAAACATGATTTGATGGGGGTTAGAAGATGAAAAGTTACCTAAAATGATGCCACTAGATTTCAATTTTCAGAAAATTTCTAAATTTTCTAAATTTTTGGCCTAAATATTAATATTAAAAGTAAATTAAACTAAAAATACTAATTAAACAATTGACCTACAAAAATATAATCTTCAACGGATTTTTGGATTTATCAATTTTTTATTTTTATTTTTTCAGTTATTTGAAAGCATATAAATAAATGTACTCAAATAGATATATTAATCTATATCATGCCATAAACTCAGTTAATCAAATCAATCAAACATCCAATCGATTTAAACCTAATAGGAATCCACAAATTTCAAGATTTTCAAATTTTGAACAATAAAGTTCAACAATTCGGTTCAAATTTTAGTGCATTTATAACCTGTTAGAAATTGATTCAATGAATCTCATGCACTATTTTTTGTTTAACTCGACACAAATACAAACTGTCTTATATGTCTTAAAAAACAACAGTATATTTCACCCAAAAGATTACAAGTTCTAGTGACATATTGCCTATATTTTTCATACTTCTCTTTCTTTTTCATGACGGTTTTTGCTCTATTGAGCAATCAGCTATTTCGTAGGACAATTTTTGATATTCAATATACTTTAAGGCTTGATAGCTTTGAACACATCCCATAGGTCGCCATTTTCATGAAAAAATATGCAATCAATTTTCACAATATATTCTTTTTGATTTTTAATGATTGCTTCACACATATTTTGTTAGACAACTCCCTTAGATTTAGGTTTGATATTAGCTTCTATATTTGTATTTCTTCTGTTACATATGTTTAGGATTAATTGTAAGCTATGTTAGGCAGGTCCCTTAGATTTAGGCTTGCCTTTTTACAAGCCCTTTTTGATTCCATGTAACACATAAATACCCCTATTGGGATGAATAAAATTGAGTTGAATTTTCCCAATTCTTTTAACTTTCAGATATTTTACACATATTTTTATAGTAGTTGTCATAGGACCTCTTTCTTAATGAGTAAATTTCTTTTAATGTTTAAGTCTACGTCGTAGACATATGCACATATATATGTGAGTTAGTGTGTGTGAATGATTCAAAGAACTTATCACTTATCGAAAATAAACAATCCAACTCTTACTTTGAATTCATTAACCTTTTATGATTATCTTGTTTCCAATGTAGTTTAATTGATTTGAATGATCATTGTGATTCTCACGACTAAAAAATAATGCATGATAAAAACAAATGTTAAATAAATAAACAACAAACTAAAGTGATAAGTACACACAGTTTTAGGTTTTCAGAATTTTGCAAATAAAATTATCCTAAAGCCTAACTTTCTTACTTTCAGAAATTATTAAACATTTGATTTCTTACCTTTTTGATGTCCCAAGGAATCTAAAGGAACTTGAACAAAGATTTTCAAGGTATCCTTACTCAATCGCACAACTTTAGATATCAATGAATTTCTTTTTTTTGGTTGTTATTAGGAGGGTGTATTCTCTTCAGATTTGTATTTTCCATTCTTGTTGTTTCTCTTCTTGTCTTTTTAATTGTTCTTCCTACCATTGTTGCTTACCCTGCAACCATAGTTTGTAATCACAGGTGGCGGTGTTGACCTCGCACATAGTTTGCATGTGACTTTTTACATCATAGTTTTATAAAGATGAATTTTTAGTGACTTTTTAATTTTTATTGAATTTTTGAAGATCATTTTACAAAAATAAAATGTATGTATTTTGGGTCGATGTTATTAAAAAGGCTTAGTAATTATTCTTTTTACGAAATTAATTAATAAAAGTAAACTCAGTTATGAAATAAATGAAAATCCATAACATATGTAACAACCTATTCAATATCTGCATGAATTTGTCATGTAATAAAATATCTGCAAGGGTTCAATTTGTCATGTAATAACCTATTCATGAATTTTTCTTGTATATAGTTCAGGGCATCAATAATTAGATGCAAAGTGAACCAAAGTAGTACGGGACATTTTATGTTGACAAAAAAAAGCTACAGTGATCATTTTTATAGATTGGTTTACAAAGTACACGAGCTGAATTAGTCTTGTATATAGTTCAAGGTTCAATTTCTTGGATTTGTAGTTAGTGAATTGAAATCAGATTGGTTTATTTATTACTAACAAAACGAAACTGGTGTATGTTGTGTGCTCTATATAATGGAATTGAATTTTGAGCTTTTTGCTGTTATTTATCCTTTCGACTCAGATATACAATTCTTCACACGTGTGTTAAAATTAGGAGCATGACTGCTTGGACGGAATTAAAATCGAGGATGTAAACCTCCGAATAAGGCAATTTAGGTTTTCCTTTTAGTAGGTAAAAAATATGAAGAAGTTATTGGTCCAACTAGTTTAGTTTTTTTTTACCACTTCAGTCATAAGAAATGCGTAGAAAGACAAAAAAGGCCGGTTCCGGGTGATATGGGCCGAACAGGCCAGTTTTTAGTGTGAGTTGCATGGCTCTGTCTGAGTGCCTATTGTTTGGTTGTGAATTTCTAATTCACAAATTCACAGCCGAATCGGCCGACTCTGTATGCGAGTCAGTCGGCTTGAGGCTGTAATGGCCATTTCTCATGTTCTTTTTGGGCTATGATATATCAGTGAGTCGCATTATCAGAGACGAAATTTGCATTAAGAACCAGCTGGTTTGCTGCAAATCAGCCGGTTCGCCGAACCATGCCTACTACCATGTAAGTATTCGACTCTGAATTATGAAACCTAAAGTTGTTCCAATTGCACTCATTGTCAACATCTCTAATGCTTTGATGACAATAAAACCTTGGGTGTCTTACTTTGTCACCATAAGCAGTAAAAAGGGGGAGGCTGAAAATTTCTTTGGGCATGAACAAACTTGTTGTTCTTGGGTACGTTTTGTGAAGCTCTCACTTGCTTGTTTAGTATCCTAGGAGAAGAAATAGAAACTTGTTTCGGTTTCACCAAAGTGATTAAACAGTTCCAACAGTTTCTTCAACCAGTTTCATCAACAGTGTTCTCAAATAGTTTCACCAAAGAAATGGAAATGTAATTTTAAATTCTTATTAAGATTTTTGGCTCTTAGGAGCTTGGAAGGATCGTCATCATCCTTTTTGTGCTAACTTTCGGTAAAACTATCAGCATCATCTTTGGCGTCACTATCACGTTCACTAGTCTTTCCATTGGAAGTATTCAAATGATTCACATTTGCTACCAAAGGACTTAGAAAACCTCATCAGCATCAGAAGAAAAATCATCATTTTAAAGGTGGGAAGAAGAGAACACAGAGGGGGGCAGGGGAGAAGGGAGAAGATAGACATGGAGGTTAATTTAGTCATTTTGCATATTTTAGTTTTTAATTTTTATGACTATCATATCGTTGAGGGGAAATTGGTAAAATTGCATTAAAGGTCACACTTCATTAGGGTTGCTAATTGTATGGGTGCAAAGGCCAAACTTGGAGGGACGTCATGGTAATGTGGTTGAGACCCATGCTCCATCCTCCCTTTGCAAGACAACTCTCAACCAATGTGCAAGCACACACTACATATTTTCTTCCAACTGTCGAGAACCATAAAAAAAATAGATAACGAGAATAATGGAAAGAAATAGAAGTTGGCAAGTTGGTGAGTCTGAAATTTGGATTTCTAAGAAGCTCCTATGTATTTTGAGACCCGCTTTTATTATTCTGAAATTGCCGGTGTTAAACCTCAAGAAGTTGTCTTGACAAGTTATTTTGCAGCATACACACTCTATCATGTTCGTTAGATCTATTCTTTGATTTTATTGAATTCGGTTTACATTAAATTTTCAGCTTTATTAATCTCTACTAATTTATTATCTGAGCTCTTTGCTTTTGCTTGTTTGCTTTTTGATGGATGTTTTCATACACATGAAATCACATCTGAAAGTAAATGATTTGCAAATGATTTATTCCCTGGTCCTAAGTACTATATTTTTTATCCACAGGGAAGTATCTCTGAAAGCCCACATAGAGTTCCTTGAAACTCTGGGTATAGCAGGAGTTAGCCACCACAGTTTGCTCTTCTCGAAGACAGCAACTGTCCCCGCTGTAGAGGAAGAGGAGGAACTAAAAAGGTAAGATCTTTCTTAGGTTCTCTTCCTGTTAAGGACAGGCGTTAACATCATAGATGAAACCTAAAATTTGCATGTTGCTAGCATCCATTGACGAGTTATAACTAATGGGTGTTATAACTCCAATCCAATTCTTGAAGCAGTTTGAGCTATTATAGTAGAAGTGTTATGTTCTTTATTGTTTTCATTCTTTTTTATGGAATACCGCGACATTTCAAAATTTGATTTATTAGCTTAATGTTTATGGATGCAGGGTAAAAGCAACTACAATTTTCAGGAACTCAACTGCATCCTCTTCACTTGAACATAAAGTTGACGGGTATGGCTCTTGAGCAGTCATTTAATCTGCTCTTCATCAATTATCTTTACTTTAAATGGATCTTTTCAATTGATGTGGCGAGACCTGCACTTTCTGCAGGGCTGAGTTCGCATTCAATCCCAAGGATGTGAAATTTTACAACAAAAATTCTTCCCTGGACAAAGGAGTTAAACCGACTGAATCTGACATCAAAGAGAGAATCATGCGGCTATCTCATATTTACGCAAATAAGGTTCTTTGATTATAAACTGAATAAGTTCTGATATTTTTCTTTATAGTTTTTTTCTAAAGAAGGCTTGGAGGAACTGTCTTGAAACGATGGTCAATACTTTGAAATGCATTAATTCGTTCATCAACTTGGTTGTTCAAAACTATTGGCGAAGGTCAATATGCTTGATTGCCAGTAGAGCTTGCAACTGGATCTGAATGATTCACATCTACATTAGGCTTGCAAATTGATCTCAAACATCTAGACAAGTCACATTACTTAAAAAGCCAGACATGAGACTTTTCTTGTTTGTGTATGTACCCTACCTCATATTTGCCCTGTTTAGAAGTTAACCTCCATTTATTTTTTTGGGCTAATAGAATGGATTTTGTACTAGTATCTGTATTAGCCTTATTTTTTTGATTAAGCTGAATATCAACACAAAAGTTTGAACCTATTATGCTTCTAAGAGCTGAGTTGCCATCAAAAGAACCTCTGCCCTTGCCTATTTAGAGAACTCAGCATAATCCATCAATATACAAGATAGTATAGGGAGGTGTCAGACACTTTTCAGCTAGTGCTGGACTGATTCAATTAAGTCAATTTTATAAGTATAATTGCTTGTGCTTGGATATCTTTGCTATTATTTTTTTAACCTTGTGTTTTTTATTAAAATTTTCAGGTTACGATGGCAAAACTACCAGACAAAGGAGAGAAAATCCGAAGGCAAATTGTTGAACTAAATTTGGAGCTTGAGAAGATTCGGACGGCAAACAGAACTGACAATGTCATTCATTTGGATGATCTAGCTGGAGATCTTCAGAGCAAGTTGAAGGTACAAGTGTTGGACTAGAACTGCTGTAAAAAAATAAAGTGGGTTTGTTTCTCAGGTAAAATGAAATCGGTCATGTAAAATATTATCATTGTTTTGTATCCTGCTCTTAAAAATCAACGTGCAGTATTTTATTTTGGCATCACACAAGCTGATGATGATAAAATTACCCAATTTACTTATTGTCCTTTACATGCCTCCTCTCTCTAGAAAGCTTCTTCAATTTCAGCATCACTTTGTGTTCCGGACAGGCTTACAGAGTGTTTGGCATGTGTCTGACGACATACGTGTTTGTGTCGGACACGTGTCTGACACGAGTACGACATCCTCTTGGACTTGTCCATGCTTCATAGATGATTAATTATAAATGCTCCTTGAGCTAACCAAGCCAAGATGAGGTAATGCAGGCGTGTGGGTGTGAGCTTGAAGACACTAAAATGCTTGGACGTTGATTGTACCAAGTTAGTTTATCTAGAGGACAGTCTCATTGTAAGTTGTGCACTCAATCATTTGATTAAGGGAAGCAAGTTCACAACCTCAATAATTAGCATTATCATCCTTTAATTTTATGTGAATCGGGCGGCAACTGAATTCTCTTTTTTCACTTTATATTCTATTTTATAATATTTAACTTTTTATAATCATTTTTAATGATTTGGGCACCATCTCACCCTTCTATTCTATGCAAATTAACCTCTTTACACTGGTTCGTCAATAGTTCTTTTGTGTATGTGTTAATTGTAAATACTATTTAAGTATACTCTCTAATTGGTGTCACTTAATTTCTCATATTTTGATTTGCCCAATGCTCTGTGCCATTTAAGATAGTTGATTTAATAACTATTATATACATTTAGACCATATGACAATAATAACAGCACTAGCATCCTCCATTTTTTTGGAATACTGGTTGGAACATGAAATCCCATTCACAATGCATTTTATTTCACATTTGGATTTAATGGAATGCCTACAATGGGGCCTAAGAGATAAATACAATATAAACTACGATTGAGGGGGAGAATTGCTATATATAGGTTCATAATCTTTGGCTATGGAAAAGTAAAGTGCTATATGTAGTTTCATAAATTTTTTATGACACAACGCACTTTTTATAACACAACCTATTTTAAAGCCGTGAACAGGCGGTTCAATATAATTCGAGGCATTAGGCGAAAAAAATAAAATTGGCTTTTTAATGTATAATATATTAATGTAAAAAATATTTAATAATATTTATTAAAAAAATACATTCTTGTTTTTTGAGATGAAAGTTACTAAGTAGATTCTTATATTCAAGTTTTGTTAAAGTATCTTTTTTAATAGATAATGCAGTCAATTTATTTAATCTTTCTTGTGGCATGGTTAGGTTAGATATGATTTTATCAACTTTAACTTTAAAAATCTCCTTTCATTATAGGTATTTTTGTTCTTTTGAAATTAAATCATATGTTTTAAATTGTTCAAACTTATACAATGAATTAAAGAAATAGCTTGGTCAACTATTTATAAAAATTAATTGATTTTACAAGATTTTTTGGTTGATTGAGTTAGCTTATATTTGTAACAACCCGAACCCGTGGGTTCGAACCGTTAACCGGGTCCTTACCCAAACCCAAGGTCACCTAAGGGCACCATCGTCAATCAACAGGTCAAGACACTTTCTATGTACATCAACAGCTCATCACGGGAGCCAAAGAAACTGTTGCAAGGTAAAATAATAGCTCTAGAGATGGTGGAACAAGAATAATGAAGGCCATGCATTTCTGTCGGCCGAAATGGACCAACCGGTTGACCGGTTGTGGCCAAAAATACTGCGAGGCTACTAGAATTGGGTTGGAACAGTAACCAGTCGGCTGAAGCAGTCATTTCGGTCGGCCAAAATGACTCTGTGAACTGAGGCTCTGCTACTGGATTTCTGTGAGTTTGAAAACTAATGATGGCCTGCTATGGGACTTTAAACTGAGAAAAAATCTGATTTACAATATGTAAGAATATTGAATCCAACACCACATCATTAAGATCGGTCACAATTTAATCATACATGATTCCTCATAATCATCTACAAAGAAACTAAAGATTTTATAGCATACAGACCATGAACCAACATCGGAATTTTATAAGTTTCAGTTGATACAACACAACACCAATCACCTTAAGGTTCTACAGAATGACAGAGCTCCATATATAAAAGGTAGTGAAATGACTATTACATTCTAAGTGTGCAGTAGAATGTCATTGTCTGTCACTTCTTTTCCCAAACCTGAAAAATGTTAATATAAAGGGGTGGACAAATTGCTTAGTAGGTGATGCCTAAGACACACCTCTTATGACCCCATGAATCTATACAAAGCATAGGTAAAGGAGAGGGATCATGCTTAATCGTAAGGGAAAACATAGCAATAATTCCAACAACAATGCGTCAAAGATCCTCATCAAGCCATGCCATGCTATGGAATGCAATGGTATGCAATGTCACTCCTCATTTCAAAACCTTTATCCATCATCATTTCTAACCGTTAATGCAACCCGTTCCATGACAACTCCATGGTGGCACGAGAGAAGGATTGGCTAACGGTCCTTGACTCGTGGCAACTCTATAGCGTCATTTGGGGCCCAGGTAATTCAACCACGCTAGAGAAGTCTCCTGAGTTCTCTCTAGGTCACATTAATGCCACGGATCTTAGGCAACTCCTAGGCGTTTGGATTTTCGCAAAACCTTTTATCAAAAACTTTTTCCCAAAACCCTTTTCTTTCCATTTCAAATCAAGTTTCCCTTTTTCATGCCCAATGTCATGCATGAATGTCTCATATATTTTGATGCCATGTAAATAGATAAATTCATGTTCTTCAAGTCAACAATATACATGTTTTGCACCAATTATAAAATAGACCACATGCTTTCTAGATCACATACTTTAACAATAAAATCACAATGGCATGAAATTAACATCAAATAACATGCTTCAGTATCACATTCCAAGTAACATATAGTCACATCTTTTACACAACATATAAATAACACAAAGTTTTACACATTTTCATACAAACATAAAAATCATGTTATCAAGAAATTGTCACTAACTAAGCATGCTATATATCAAGTATTAAGAAATAATTCACAAAGAATCAAATAGATTGGGTGTTAGAAACTCCTACCTCAAAGCTAGATGAAAATCCTCAAATTTTGCCCCAAATTTTTGAAAATCAAGGGTTGGCCAAATAGTAAATTGCTTCTATCAAAATGATGGCCTCAACGAGCTCTCCGATTTTGCTTCAAGTGGTTCTATCAAATTCCAAAAAATGGAAGAGAGATCATGGCCCAAAACTTGAAGAAAAGAAAAAGAAAAAGAAAAAAAAAATGATAAAAGAGAGGGAGAGAGTGATCTGACCGGAGGGAGAGAGATTTAAGGGCTAAATGGCCTTATGGCCATTGAAAGAAAGTAAGTGGTGGGTCCTTCCTAAAAAAAATCTTTTAACTTTAATTTTTCTCCACAAAACTTATACACATGCACCAATTATATTATAACCACAAATTTTAGCCTTTAAACAACGCACAAAATAATTATGTATGAAATGCAATAGGCCCATGACACAATTCCTGTACACAACAATTTCGGTAACGGGTCTCACGTGGGACTGTCTGGCCAGAAAAAAGAAAAAATGCCGAAATAGCAACCGGCCCATTTCCAAGTGTCCTGAATTCAAGGAAATGTGTCACCCAACTCTCGGACACATCCGGTACACCCCATGGTATCCGGTACGCAAAACGAGAAAAGACGAAAATACTCTCGAAAAATAAAAAAAATTCCAGAAAATGAAAAATAGCGAAAAACAAAACATCACAATATCATCTACATTCTCATTACTTTATTTTTCTCTATGAATTATAGGTAATAAGAGAGACTGAAAAATATGTAAGAAATAAGAGGGCAACAATAAAAATAAAAAGATAAATATTAAAGAGAATCCCAACACTATTGATGAACCAATCCAATAAATCTACTTCTAATAAGGTTCCCAATTCTCACAACAACAATTAAATGTAAGGAAAAAAAGAAAACGAGAAGAGAGTGGTAAAACAAAGAGTTAGAGATAAGGATATAAACTTTTTGTGTTTAGGCCCACGATTAAATTTTTAGAGAGGTTATAGTATAAGAAAATATAAAATTTTGGGGCCATTTTTATTCACTTGAGTATAATAATAGAATGAAATAAAAATTTTAGGAAGGTTGTAGTATAAAGAAATAAATTTTTTTGGAGTCTTTTTATTGGATTGAGTCTAATAATAGATGAAAATAATTTTTTTTTGAAAGCTTATAATATAAAGAAATAAATAATTTTCAGGTCTTCTTATTGGAAGGGCCTTTGGCGACCACCTGCCTAATGGTCTAGCCGTGATGACTATGCATTGGTGGAGTACTATGTCTAAGTGGCCCTACGACGTCTATGTGTGGTTTGCCGTATCGTATTGGTCAATACGCGATCTTTTTTTAAGTCCAATACGTGACCCGTATCGACCGGTTTAAATTCATTATACCGCGACTGTGACCGATATTGCAGACTCTACGATCTCAGCTCTTCTTCGAAGTGTTGGTGTGCCTTTCTATGACCTGGGACCAAAATTTATATCCCAAATTCGCCCATTTACCTCTTTCCTTGAACTACTCATAGTCCTTGGGTAGTGTTCCTGCTACGCAAGTCCACATCTTAGCCCAATACTGCAATTTTTTCTAAACTGTCTTTGTATTGGGTGATAAAACTCTTGGTAAATTTTGAAGCATTTGTAACAATGCACTTCAATACAATCCCACGAAGTTTGTGCACATTACTAAAAGTAAAAAATAAAATAAAATAAAATAAGGAACACCATCACATTCCATATGAACCAAGCCAATTAACGAATGATAGAACAAGAGATTGAAAAAATCTTAATGTTAATTTAAAAATTGCAACTAATGAGCATAACTAATATGAACACATGAGAGTCACTTTAATTTTATTTACTTCTATTATTAAAACTAAATCAAGAGAGAAATTTAATAATGGGCCGAAAATATTTCTATCCTTTTATCAACTTTTTTTTCTCTCACTATTATCCTCAATTCCACATTAAATTAGCAGTTGGTTGAAATTATTGAAACTTTTCATATTTTTTTAAGACTCCTAAAATTTTTATGAATAGACTTTTATTTTATAGAAGAATTTGTTGGAGCATAGACCGAGGAAAAACCTAAAGAGATTAGAAGAATAGATAAACTAATTCAATCTAAAAAATGAGCTACTGATAAATTTGTTACAACTAATAAGTAAAATTTAGCAAAAAATTTTAAGTGAAAATTCAACAAATAAACAATTAAATCATTTATAGGAATTATAAGTTTATACGGTAGTGAAAGAAAAATGCCTAAATGACATAAATTATAATGATAATTAACGGAACAAGAGATTGAAAAAAATCTTAGTGCTAAGTTAAAAATCCAACTAATGAGTATAATACTAATACGAACACATGGGTAGATTTTATTAATTAAAAAATCACTTTCGCTTAAGGCCTCAAATTATATTGTTTCGCCTGAGGCCTCAAATTATATCAAATTCTATTGTTTCGCCTAAGGATTCAAATTATATTAAACCGCGCCAACTTCAAAGCATGCCTCCATTACTTACTGTTGAGGAGTATCAATTATACCATATGCACTCTTCTCTCGTTCCAGATGCACCATAACATAGAAGTGAATATACATCTCATCACTTTGCAGTTCATAGAATGCCCTAGAGTTTGATTTGTAAACCAAGTGACCAACTGTAGTAAAATGCTACATATATCCAATGTCCCCCAATGACAGAAATCTGAAATCCATTTCCATACCTTATTTGGATAAGGACAACACTAGAAAATGTGGTCTTTAGAGTCCACATTTGCAAAGCAATTGTGACAGATAGAGAAGGTCGGTCCTATATGAAAAGGCAGACCTGCATGTAGTAAATATCTGATTCCAAATCTCTACTGCAGGGACTGGCCATCAAACCATGGATCATTACGTATAGAAAATGTGATATGCTGAATCAGGAATTCTCAATTATTATTTTTTGACAACCTCTGATTGTTTTGAGATATGCCTCTCATACCCACCCATGTCCTTGTCCGTGCTTTGATGGTTAAGTTGGAACAACATGGGGAGGTGTATGATATGCGGAAAAAAAAATTCGTCTTCCTCAACTGCCTATAGGTCAACTACATGAGGTGAACTAGGGCTGGCTTGGTTCTCAATTTACTGTTGTGGAGCTTCTCTTATATCAAGAGCATGAAGCATTGAATCTTAGGTTCGAATAACTCGAATCCTTAAGCAAGTTATTCTATTATAATAACAAATACCTTTTATACCTACCCAATTCACACAATCATGTTTTATCTTGGGTGTTTGCATGATTATGCATTGGTATAAGTACCCCAAAGATATTATATACTTTTTCTATGATATCGGCTCTTGCCTCACCAGTCCCATTTGTCAAATGGTAGAAAGAAAGTGTTGGTGTGCCTTTCTTTGGACTGGGGACCAAAAATAATGCAATTTTGTATTGGGTGATAAAACTCTTCCTTTGTAAGAATGGACCTCAATACAATCCCATAAAAAAGTAAAAAATAAAATAATCAACACCATCACATTCAGATTTTGAATTCATAAAAAAAAAAAAAAACAAAAACAAAAACAAAAACAAAAACAAAACAAAACAAAACAAAACAAAACAAAACAAAACAAAACAAAACATTTCATGACATTTAATTACCTTCATAAAAAAGAATCTAATTTAAAACCCACCAATAATGTTATTCAACCCGAAAATAATGGAGGGACTAAACAATAGGAATGCAACATAATTTATAGAATCTCATCAACGATTCTTCCAATCCATGTAAAAAAAAAAAAAAATTTGGACTCTTAAAGTAGACCTCAGGCATAAGGTGACACTTTAATACGGACCACCTCGCAAATCAAAATCAAGATTAGCCATGGGACAACCGGTGTCTGCAGCAGCAGGTTGAGTTTGATTATTCATCCCAAGCATTGACGTCAAGGGCATTGTAGAAGACTTCATCATCATCGCATCCGCTCTCATGTCCAACTTCCTCTTCAACTCTTCCATCGAAACCAACTTCTGCTCAAGCTCCACCAAACTCAACCCATCAATGGGGTCATTCCACCATAACCCACCACGGCCGTTGCCCACGCCCCTCACTTTCACTTCTTCTTCAATCATCAAACTTCTCTTCTTCTCTGCGTCCAATTCCTTTGAAATTTCCACATACCGCTTATTCAACTCCTCGTTAAGTTTATTAGGTGGTGGAGAAGATGATGATGTAGAACCAGTGACAAACTTATCGACCACGGCGTCGACACTCTGGTGTCCGAATGAGAACACGCGGCCACCCGGTGAGCATACGATAATGGCGGCCTCTCCACCACTTAAGATGCAGAGCTCGCTGGCTTTCTTGAAGAGACCGGCCCGGCGTTTGGAGAAGGTGACTTGACGATTGTTCATTTGGTCTATTTTCTTGATTTCAATCTTCTTTCGGCCTTGGGTTGTCTTCCTCATGTGGTGTGGTTTCTCCATGGAGATCTCAGAGGTTGAAAATGAATGAAGATATATAGGGTTGCGAAGAAAGTTACAACGGTTAGGGTTTGGAAAAGAATGGTGCTCCAAGATATATATATATATATATATATAAAAGATGTTCCATGTTTAATCCCACAAATTTTGCTCCTAAAAGATTCTTTACAATATTTAACATATCTTAATCTTTGTAATAAGGAAATAAAAAAAAATTTCCTTGGTTTTAGTATATGATATATGTGTATATAGGGAAATTGCATAAAACTCTCTTCTATTTTCAAGTTTTGACAATAAACCCTTCTGAAAAAAAGATTGACATAAAACCTCCTAATTATCAAATTTGTTGCAAAGTCATGTTATAATGAGAAAATGCCTCTTAATATAAATTTAAGAAAGATTTTCACTTCAGTTTGAATTCTTTTTTATTTTAAAAAAATTGAACGTTAAATTTTTACAAAAGTTACACACCATTAAAGTGAAATTATAATGAAAATAATTACTCGTAAAATAGATTTAATAAAATTTAGGGTTTACTACTTTAAAATGATTTTCATTTTAGGTTTTTTTTCTTTTTTCTTTTTAAAATATAAAAATTTAAGAAAATTTTGAAAATTGTTTCATGGATTTTCATTTTCTTATAGACTCAATATTAAAAAAAAGAAGAAGCAGGCATTAACAACACTATGCCAAAATGAATTATTTGTTTCAATTTTAATTTAATATTAAGAGAATATCATTTTATTAAATTTATATTGAGGGGTAGTTTAGTCATTATAATATCACTTTGCAACAAATTAGATGATTAGGGAGGTATTATGTTAAATTTTTTCTTTAGGGAGTTTCTTGCCAAAAATTGACACCAGAAGGGCATTGTATGCAATTTGGGCATATATATAATAAAAAAGTTGTAATAGTTCCTATTTTATTTTTTGGTGTATACTCCGTATATGTTAAGAAAACTTACATGTCATCACATTTTTTTCTTCGTTTTAGTATATGATATATATCTATATTGAAAAAGTTGTCCAAAAAAAAAAAAATGTTACCTATTTTATTTTTCTAATTATTCAAAAGTAGTAAAAAATGTTGCCTATTTTATTTTTCTAATTGGTTGGTGTATATATGTTAACTGGAGTAATAGAAAAGAAAAACTTATATAGTTATATGTAACCACACTACTTTGGTAAATTAAAATTCTACAAAAAATAAAAATAAAAATCGAAATCCATGTTTAAGCCAAAATTAATTCCTTATGTTACTCCTTTATTGTTGGAATATGGCATGTACTATATTGTTGGTGCTTATAAGTCAACTTAAATTATTTTTGCAAAGTGAATTCGACCAAATTTTCTACTTACCAAAAAATAAAAATGTCGACCAATTTTTGTATGATTGGCTTTATTCGAAACCATGTTTTTCCCAAAGAATCGAATCCACTTGCATATTAAGATGGTGGATAAAATTCGTTGGGAAATGAATTCCATTCTTAATCCATTTTGATTCAAATTTAGACTTAAAAGGAAAAAATCACTCCAAACGAAAATTACTCAAATTCTAGAAAGAGAAAGGGTTTTTCTTTTCATTTATAGCGGCCTCCTTTGGGATAAAACTTCCCAGTACCGGTTATGTTATGTTATTTGTGTCATTAATCAATAATATCTCATCACATAAGGTTACCTTTAATAACAACAAACGTTTCTTATTTTCTACCGTTAATTTCTAAAAAGGTAGAATGAAAACAAAAATCTTTTCAATTTTTGTGAAGAAAAAAGGAAACATAAAAAAGATATTTCTTATGTTTTCTACGCTGTAGCGCAGAAACGTTTTCATTATTGTTACTATACGGGCACTATTCATTTTAAAACTATACGGGCACTATTCATTTTAAATAAAATTCATATTATTTGTGTTATATACTAAGCTGCATATTTTATTAAAAAATTTATATTTTTAATATAGAATATATAAAATAGTGTACATTATTTTTTATTGATAAAAATATATTTTAATATATAATATATTAAATAATAATGTAAATTATTTTTTGTGACAAAATAATTTTTGATATAGAATATAATGATATTAAATTATTATGCCATAGATATTTTATATTATTATATATCATATCTATATTATATTATATGTAAATATTAAATTATAATAATTTACAATATTATAATAGAGTATGTATTTTATTACATATAAAGATATATTATTTAACATTTTTTATTCATAATAAATTACCATATGCTAAATATCAGATAATAAATGTATACATCATGCATATACATGTATGTATATACATAATTGGTGGGAGCGTTTTTGTCTTGATATATTAATTTTGTACTTATGATGTATTAGGTATTATTAAGATTTGTAATTTTAAATTAGATTTTGTAAATTTATGACTTTTTAATACTAATGGAAGCAAGTGTCGTGCTTGAGTGGTTCGCCTGTGTCTGAGAGTCCGTATTCAAATCATCCCCCCTCCCACTCCCCTCTCTAATCACTAACCCCTAAAATTATTGCCATGAAAGAAAATAAAATACAAATGAAAAAAATAAAAATAAAAATAAAAAATTTAAATAATATTATGTACACTTTGTAACAAATATGTACTACTAAACACTATTATTGTTTTATGTTATCAAATTTGTGGCAACAAAAATTATTAATAAACATTATTTATGCTTTCTATTTTCACTCAAGAAAGTAAAATCATGTTTCTATTTTTTTAAGAATGCAAAAATAGAAAATGAAAACATTACTAAACGCACCCTAAGAAAAAGTGTTTCCAATAATATCTCGTCACATAAGAAAAAATGTTTTATTTTAGTGGGTCTTATCACTACGTGACAGTATTTAATAAATCGGTGATACCATGTCATCTTTACAGCTAACACAATTAAGTTTTTCTCCTCTTTTGGGACCTCTGTTTACTTTTTATACATGTACAACCCTAATGCTAGTTCTGCTTGGTAGGACAAAAAAAATTTGGGAGGAAGGGAGAGAAGAATGGATGGATGAGGCATCCCTAAAGAAGATATTTTAATTTTCCTCTTTTTGTTCGGTTGAATAGAAGAGAATAGAATAAACTCATAATTTACTATCTTTGTTAAAAAAGAAAAAATAATAAAGTTTTAATTATTTTTACTATTATATTTAATAATATTATAATTTATAAAGGATAGTGTTGTAATTTAAAACCTATATAATTTAGGATAATATATGATTTAAAATTTCTATAACAGTTCATTTGTCTTCCCTCCTTTAGTCTGCCCATTTTTGGGTGGATGAAAATTTGTAGAGGAGTGTTAATTGCAGTCGCATGCGATTGTCCTTGTACAGTTGCGCACACTCTTAATTGGTCAAGATTTTTAATATTACACCCTAATGAATTGAATATTGAAATATTGAAACACTGAAATACTGAAATTCTTTACACTTTTAATAATAGTATCGATATAGATATAGATATACTTGCCATCCAAGTAAGGAGAAAGCAAAATAATTAAAAGGGTACTTTTGTCCTATAAATTTAATGATGTTTCAAATCATTTATAGATAAAATAATAAAATAATTTACCAAATAATAAAATAAGTTACCAATTAAAATAAATCATATTAGGCTTAGAATTCTTATTAGAATTAAATGGGTAATTGTTTATTTAAAATTCAATCAAAAAATAAATTACCAATTAAAATTAAATAGATAATTGTTTAATTGAAATTCAATCAAGAATTTTCATATCATTATTAAAACAACTAAAACAAATTACGTTTTAAAATAAAATACGAATTATTTAATATAATAATTTACAAAATAATAAAAAACCAATTAATATTAAAAAGATAATTGTTTAGTTGAAATTCAATTAAGATGTTTCAAATCATTAAATAAATTAACAATTAAAATTAAATAGGTAATTCTTTATTTAAAATTCAATCAATAAATAAATTACCAATTAAAATTAAATAGGTAATTGTTTAATTGAAATTTAATCAAGATGTTTCAAATCATTTATAGTTAAAATAATTTATCAAATACGAAAATAAATTACCAATTAAAATAAATCATATAAGTTACCAATTAAAATAAATCATGTTATAGTCGGAATTCTTATTAAAATTAAATAGGTAATTGTTTATTTAAAATTCAATCAAGATATAAATTACCAATTAAAATTAAATAGGTAATTGTTTAATTGAAATTCAATCAAGATGTTTCAAAACATTTGTAGATAAAATAATAAAATAATTTATCAAATAATAAAATAAGTTATCAATTAAAATAAATCCTATTATGCTCGGAATTCTTTAAGGTTAAAACAACTTTAATTTTTCTATTTTATTCTATTTCTAACTTTTTCCTAAATATAAATATAGATCAAAATATATCCAAATAATAAAATAAATTACCAATTTAAATTAGATAATTGTTTAATTGAAATATTTATTTAATGATTTGAAATATCTTGATAAAAAAAATGACTATTAATAAATTACCAATCAAGATGTTTCAAATCATTTACAAATAAAATAATAAAATAAGTTACCAACTAAAATAAATCTAATATGTTAACAATTAAAATAAAAAAGTTACCTATTAAAATAAAATAGGTAATTATTTAATAAAATAATTTACTAATTAAAATTAAATAGGTAATTGTTTAATTAAAATTCTATCAAGATTTTTCAAATCATTAAATAAATTACTAATTAAAATTAAATAGGTAATTATTTAATTAAAATTCAATCAAGATGTTTCAAATCCTTCAATCAAGATTTCAAATCATTTAATGTTTTAAAAACATTTTAATTTATTTTGATTGATCTGTTTGGCAACATGGTTCAAATTTTTTTAATATTAATGTTGATTTATTTTTATTTTTTATTTTTATGTGTTTGTTTAATTATGTCATGTCAGCATTTATTAGCTAAACAAATAAGTTTTGTAATATTATATATTTCCTCGACTATAAGTTTTTAAATATTATATA